AGTTCTTAGAGTGTTCTTAGAGTTCAGTGAGTTCTTAATCTATTTTTCTACATACTTGCCACATTTGTCACAGCGAGCTTTCTTTGCAATCTTCATAGAAATATATCGCTATGAAATAGAAAGAAAGTTATGTAATGCCGCGCGAAAAAACCAGCAAATTTTGGTAAAAATCTCTTATTAAAGGGATTAAAAATATGATAAATACAGTTGCTAAATTTACAGAAAATTTTTTTCTACTGGTGTGGTGTTGCCAGAATCCATGTTTTGTGGGTCCTTGATACCGAAAAATCGAATAACGACAAAACGTGTCTGTTCATGTGTGAACAACGCAAGCGTCTACACCGTTCAGCTGATTTTCTCCAACATTGATATTATCCGATCGTTTTGGCTGATGTCACGACCCCTTCAATTTGAAATCGGTATTTCAATTTTGGGGGTAATTTACAAGAAGCCCCTGGGACATTTTTCAAATTTTCAAAAACATTGCTTCATAGTTTTTGATTATATATTGGTTTTGGATAGTTTGAAGAACGTTTAAGAGAATGGTGTAGGTCTCATTTTCGTTGAAAACTCTGATTTTCCGAAAATTTCAAAAGTTCAAAGTTTTTCGGAGTCTTTCTAAAACTAAAATGTTAAAGATAAAAATTTTCCCCTTTAAAGTAATCTATCCCTTAAAGACAGATTTTGAAATGTCATTTACAATTTTTCGAAAATTTGTGTAATTTTGCCCCCTCCGTTGGAACTGGTACTTCTCTTTTTAATAATTCTCAAATCACTCACTCAAGAGTCTTGATTGTGGCAGGATTTTCGTCACTAGCTATACAGTTAGGTCAAATTTAGCCGCGGAGGAGAATTCTAGCGGCCGACTGCTCTGATCGACGGTTTTTCGATGTTTCTCGGAACTACACTAGGCGAATGCCGGACCAGTACCTGGGATCTGGGTATATCCTAACAAACGGGCCATGGACCGCGCGCAATCTTTCCTTTCTCTTCCCTGTCCTTATTTGCCCATACACTTACATGCACTACACCGACACTTGGCAGAAGGCAAGTAGGGAGCTTAGTGCTTGTCCAGGCTGGGGCGTTGTCACCTTGATGGAAGATATCTGACTGGGGAAAATCCCCACAAGCTGACGTAAGTGGGCGCCGTCAACGGGGGAAGAGTACGACAAATTCTCACGTTTAAACATGCTACACTTACGGGGCTAATGGCATTAGCAATTGACGCGCCCGGGATCGCTAACCAAGCAAACAAAAGTCGCTCACGTTTGACATATAGTATCAAGTCTCACCTTTGACGTGTAGCTGAAGGTTGTCCGTCTTTCTTTTGATGAAGTATGCCAACATCCTTCCTCATAGCTCGAATTTTCAACGCAGTATATGCAAACATGGAAATGTTCATTAGGAGAATGATGCACATTGGAGCGTAGTAATAGAAGAGCGTATTCGTTTTCCTTGTCCTGGAGATGGGTCCTGCAAGAAAGAATAAACGTTATCTTTAGTGACATTCTTTCGCGACGTTCTTGAAACTAGGTATCCTGCGATATGAATGCAACAATTAATTTTATTAAATATTCTTCGACAACACTGTATTGTTATCTAGTTAATAAAAACATATTAATTTATTTCAAGAAACGCCATTTTAGTTTAACTTTGAATTGAAAGACCAATTAGTAATTACTAACAAAAAAAGACAAAAAGAAATTAATTAATAATTTCCTGTTATACATTATTAAAGAATTAACATTATTATTAAAACTTCAAACTTTTGACTTAATATTTGGTCTGGTCAAATGACTTTTATGAATCAAGTTATTACTAGGTGCCGGGTCTTCTTTAGACATAATTAATATTTCAATTATTTATCTACTAAGTACTTTATTTAACACTCTGTCGCACACGTAGAAAACCATTGACAAGTCTCAATTATTAAGTGAATATACATGGAGAAAATACAATTATTATTGTTTTATGGTTAATAATGAAGTAAAATATAATATACAGAATATTAAAACTTAAATCCAATTCACCAAGCAAAGGTTTGTTGCATCTTTAATATTCGCATAACAGCGTGTAAGAAGTGGGAGAGAAAGCGAGTATAAAATATACTTTTTATGATGTTTCAATAGCTAATACTTAATAGTATTTACCTACATTTTGTCACAGATATTGTCGATTTGGTAGAAGTCAAGATATCGTGAAAAAAGGACGAGTGGTGTTGGAAATACTAACCTTCTTCAAAGAAACATGTCTTCGTGTGGTAGAGAGGTCCAGAGAACGCATAATCTGAGAGGGTGCTGACTATTACTATCGTCGCAATAACTGGCAACCCCCACGCATACAGGCTGTAAAGGCAGAAGGCTCTCAAGCCGCTTCGCTCGCCGCCAACTGCGCTTTTGATTCGTAGCATTTGACTGCAACAAGGGTGGTGATAAGTAGTTCCAATTGCAAATTAAACACGTTTTAACTGAATTATAAAACTGATTAAGCCCAATTCTTCCTTGGTATTTGACGTAAAAGTTTTCACATTTTATTTGTAAACAATATATGTAATTTTTTAGAACAGTATATTTCAAGTAGTTGATTTAATAGATTATGTTTACACTGTTGTATGTAAAATGTGCAAACCTGCCTTGCTTGACATTATTACCTAAATCCACGAGCCATATTGATGCAAATGACTTGTAGCCAAAATGCTGCTGCCAGCAGAAAGAAGTTTATTGCAATAGCTGAAATAGACATGTCATTTTGATTTTATTTAATTTGTGAAAAAACAAATAAATAAATATAATAAATAAATAAATAAAATAAATAAATAAATATAATAAATAAATAAGTATAATAAATAAAAAACAAACGGAATGTGACGTTCATTCTTTTGTTTCACTCGTAAGAAACAGGATTACGAAATAACGTTTACAAATTATCAAGATACTTTTGATTATATGTTTTTAATTTTACTCTCAATTGTGAATTGAAATCAAAATCTTGCATTATTTCGTTTTAATGGATCATTTATTTCCTATAAAGATAAAATAACAATTAATATAGCTAAATCTGTGGCACTAACTGTGAAAGTAACGTCTTCTAAAGACTTGCCTTCGCGCATCCAGTGACGCACCGTCATTCTGTACTCGTACAACCTTCACTTTTAAATATTGCGCTTATTTCTCTTGACGCAGTGCCCGCTAGATCTGATAAACTTGTTACGTTACACGTGATCTTGACGTGCCTGGCTTTCGGTCTAATAGCCTGCGCATATTTTCACGTGGTTTTGCAGAAACATTACGCTATCAGCACAACGGCTTTATGGGCTCGCCAGATTCTGAATCGTCCGTTTGCAACCGACGGGTACTCGCGATGGGAAGTATTTCCCATCTCTTTCACGCTACCCTCCTTCACGTCAAGCACCACGAAATGATCTATTCGCGATTCTTCAACACTTGGCGTAGCCATTAGAACGTCGCTTCACTGCTCGTGCCAAAGAAAGATCCCGCTGTCAGGCGCCGTACGGCAATGACTTCTCGCTGCTGGTAAAAGCTGGATAGCAGAATGTGAATTGCTGAGAGGGAGTGCAAGGGACTGTCCCGTCTGATAAAGAGAAAATAATTTTCTCCGCCACATACAGTTCATTCATTTCTATGTGCCTCATTCATAATGTCTACAGTTCAGGAGGTTCAAATGAAGAACAGTTGAGAAAAGGATATGTGAAGATCAATCTTAGTCCGGTTTGCAGGATCGCTTTTCAAAAAACATTATCGGGAGAATTAACGAACGCGCGCATGCGCACCAAGTTTTCTGAGACGGCAGAGCCTCCGTGCTAAAACTCCGGACATTGTTCGTCAAAATGAAGCGTGTAAAATGGATTTCAGCATTTATGTAGACCGGACCGCACAAGCGAAGATGGTTTTCATTCCACTCGTCAATTTTCCCTCCACCCCTCCCACAGCGCCCCCTGCCGGGTAGTTTCCCGACGCCCGCTCACCCAGCGGTTGGCACAGCTCCGTCCTGAAGGTGTAGGCGGCGTTGCAGGCGTTGGCCGCGAGGAGCGCGGCGGCGTGGCAGGCGAGCGCGCGCCCGTGCGTGGAGGCGCGCGACTGCGCATGCGCCAGCGTGGCCGCCACCGCCGCCGCCAGCAGCGCCGCCGCCGGCACGCTCAGGTACGCCGGGCCCTGCAGCGCCGCGAAGCGCGGAAGCGCGTAGCTACACACGCCTGCGCGCGCGGAAGGCTCTTTACGTCTCTGGCGAAGGGCGATATTGTGGTGGAGTTCGGGTGAAAAAAGGAATGTCAGGATTTTGAATGAAAATATTTGGTTATATCAGACTCTGGTAAGAATTATAATTTAAAAAAGTTAATAGTAATAATTAGTTTTATTGTTATTTATTGTTATTATTTATTATTATTTATTGTTATTATTTATTATTATTATTTATTGTTATTATTTATTGTTATTATTTATTGTTATTATTTATTGTTATTATTTATTGTTATTATTTATTTATTATTTACTATTATTATTTACATTATTCACAGTACCTACTGGTCGGTATGTCAACCACACACAGGAATGGATGACAGGTGTGTGCTTGCTTTACTGACAGTGTCAGATGGCTTCTGACAATACGCAGTATCAAATTACCTAACTTTGCATATATATATACATTCCTGTATCACAAGCGAAGGACACTCCAGTGCCCGAGTGTCATTTTCGGGATCACTCCCGTAGCTGCATAATTATTATAGCCACATCTCACTTACTGAAAGTTCCACTGATTTGCGGACTTCATGGTCGATATCTGATATACTTCTGGATCTTCTCTTGATATTTTTCCCGATATTTGTGGTATTGGTATTGATAATCGATAAGGAAAAACCTGCTGTTGGTTATCTATTCAAGCACGTGATATCTGTCTATTACGCCGACATGTCTGTCAGTGATTAATGACACGATTCCCCAGTTGAGTGTGTGCCACTACTTTCAAGCACTTATTAGTATTAATTATTATTATTATTATAATCTAGTGGTGCTCCAACAGCACGTACTTTCTCGCGATATTGTGAATGGTTATGCAAAATTGTATTATGAAACTTTCTGTCAAACACTTCAATTCTCATTTGAAAAAGTCTTAAAGAAACGAAGCGCGAGAAATAAAGTTACGCGAAATATAGTCAGATTTTAGAAAAATTGTACATCACATTACTTCAAAACCTATCTTTAAGGAACGCATTTTATTAAGGAAAAATCTTTAATATTTTATTTGTAGGATACGCCTAAAAAAATTGAATTTCCAAATGATTACAGAAAAGTCATTTTTAAGTTAAGTAAAAAAATGCTTGGAAAATAGTTTATTTTGATTAGTAAACATTTTATAAAGATAGTTCACAAGGCAACCGATTGGTAGAATAAAACACAGGATGAAGGTATCTTACCTATGCTCCATTGCAAGTCGCCGTTGCCGTCCGCGACCATTCGTCCGTCGAGGCACGGGTACCGCTCCAGGTAATTGTCCTCAAAGCTTCCACGTCCCAACAGAAATTTTAGCCTGGTCTGCCTCGTCACATTCGAGACGTCGAGAGTTCGGAATTGTCCAGGACTACAGAGCAAGTAGCTATTGTACGCAAACAGTGGATTCGTGTTCAGGTTTCTGATATCCTTCGATCCGTTCATTGTCATATTAAAGTTTTCCACGCAACGCGATGTTCCAGCTTCCTCAACTATTAATTGACTTTGAGGACAGCATTTGAATATTTGAGGCAACGTCCCATAAGTACACATTCGAATGGCCCAAGGTCCCATCGGCCCGTTTGTTGCTTCCAAACAATAGTCAGCTGGTTCAATAATTGTTTCCACATTTCGTACTGTAGAATCATTCACTCTCAATGTGACATTCATTCCTTCGCCAAACGATATTCGCGAGGTGTCGTTGGCTTGGAGGACGAGAAACCTGTCACAAGACAAAGTGCCCGCGTAGTGCACCGAGAGGTCTCGCTCCATCAGTTCGGGCGGAAGCCAGTACAGAGCGTGTGGCCTACTCGCTGACAGTTCTCGAGTGCTCTCGTTGTGGATATTTGATAAGGGATCTACGCGTTTCCCGGTCCGAGACACGCAATCTCGACCATTTGGATGTAATTCTTCCCCTTTGAAGCAGCATTTCCAAATATGAGTGCCTTCCGATTTCACTGGCGTGATCAGCATCGGTATTGCTAGTATTATCCACCAATGAAAATTTATACGAAATACATTTGTTGATTTTGAGTGACGATCATTTAACACACTTGGCTCTAACATCTGTAATGTACGCTTTATATAACGATTTTTATCCATTTTAAGAGTTTGTAATGAGTATTTTACCTGAGGCAGATTTTCTTCAGTTACTTTCATTGCGAAAGAGGAATCACTTGTTTTCATGAAGTATGATAAATAGAAATAGTACTTGAGTGTTTATTAAATGCGTTTAGGCTTATACACCGTATATTCGAGCTCTGCATTATATTTATCAGACGAATAAGCATATATTCTACATGTATTAGACGGATGCGGTGTATGAATACTTCATTATTTCTGTAAGAAAAAAGAAAGAAAATTAAAAAACTCAGCTAGACAATGTGAGTTGTAATGACACATATAAATTTTACGTAAAGATGTAAGTGCATAGAAATAACAATTCACTTCTAATAAGGATTAATGTAATTAAGAAACATATATTGGCGCAAATAAAACAATGTTTTGCCAAGGTGGTAGCATTAGTAGTGTACATCTTTCGTGTTTCCTAGTCGTGTTTGGCTCACGCCAACAGTCAAAAACATGCATGTCAAAATTACGAAACACATCAGATACCTTGTATCAATAAGCCGCACTTTTCTATCTTGAATTGTGGTTTATCTTTATTACCAAACAATCTGGAATCGCACGACTACTGCCATACATCCAGGTGTACACTTGCTGCTTTTCCTGTTCCACATCTTCAGCCTCGTGGGACCGGTTTAACATGACGGAAACAGCTCCTATTGCCCCCTCTCCATGGACAAGGTCAGAATCACTGCCTGAGAAGATTAACACAAAGATACTGCGTTAAATATTATTTCCATCGAGATTTCCTGATTGGAAATTCGGAAACTGTTGAAATTCATAGTGGCGTGAACATTAAGTACACACAAAATATTGATATTTTCATAAAAATGAATCCAATCAAAATGATTATCAAGGGAATCCCACTAACTATGGGCGTCCCCCAAAACTTCTAAACGGTTCACGATATCAAAATGCAGTTTTCACTTAATAATGCGAAATCATGGGGCAAGTAATATGCCGATATAAGAGATATAGTTTGAAATATTTTTACTTTTCGAGGAATTTAATCATCTTTGATTTTTTAAATGAAAGAGTACATTTTTCTCACTAACAGTAGATAGATCATAAAAAGAGGAATGCAATGATGTAACGTATGTTAACGTTTGATAACTTTTTCCCCTTGGTGTAATAATTACGGCAATCATGTTTAAACTTTAGATTATAGATTAAAACAGGAATGGGGGGTAGTATCGCGAAAGAGTGAATGAAATTGCTAGTATGACAAATCAACATACAAATAAAATTTTCCACATTATTTTTAAAAAATGTTCATTAAATTAGGATATTTAACCATTAGTTCAAGTAATTACAGTAAGCATTCCACCCTATATTGGACTTACACAATTAAACAAAAGAGTTTCATTGAATTAAGTTGTTAAAATACTTGAATTATATTATTTCATATTAAACATTTACATTACATATTAAAGTTATACTTCTCTTCGCGAGGTACAGTAAGTACCTACAAAGAAAGGCCCAAAATAGACAAAAAAATACATCATTCAAATTTCAATAGTAATTTCCAGTTACCGTTCACGGCCATGCGTTCCAAAGACGAGCGAACGGCGTCGTCGACGCAGGTGTGAGGCCCAGCGCGGTTTCCCACTGTAAGCCAAGGTCGAGTCGCGTACGTCGGTCCGCGCGCCGCGGTGGCGCCGGGAAGTCACGTGCGGTCAAGCTGCGCCTTCCTTCCCGATTCGGCCCAATTCACCTGCGGCGGCGCGCACACGTGGGTTCCTTGCAGCGTGAGGTGGGGGGTGGGGCGAGGGAAATACGGCGGCATCGGCTCTGTTTCCTTGTCGGTCGTTCTTCAAAGGCTCGAGGCGGGGTCGATCTGCGTTCTCGCAGGGCGTCAACTCTCTTAGAGTCGCTCTCCTCTCGATTCACATAATTCTGTGCCTTGGAGTTTGACACTGGTAAGCGATTCGGAGCGGTTTTGAAATACAATTTGTGTAAATAGTTACATTTGTAACAATTGAAAAAGCCAATAGTCAAAACAGGCTTAATAATGTATGGAAAATGTCTCCAAGGAAACGAAATCGAGAAGTGGTTCCTGTACAGTGGTGACGAGCGGACCTGGATGGTCGTGTTTATTAAACCGCGGGCCACTGCCTCTGTACTACCTCGGTCAAGACCGTCTGTAATATTATACATCAGACCTTCATGCAAGAATCGATACTGGACAATATAGTGCCTGTTTTGGTCATGTGTTTATGATTGCCACGTACGTTCCTTGTGGTTCCAGTTGATATACGTAGTTTGCTCCAGTTGATATACGTTGACATACGTAGTTTTTAGTCGCTTGTACGGTCGTTCTTGTCTGGGTGTTAATCCTGCTACAATTCATTAAGGTATTTTAATTTTAAAAGGATAAGACGCTGCAAGACGTATGGGTTGAGTGCATTAATCGTTATTCCTATGTAGTGACGGAAAATTCATTAGTCTGTGAAAAACATTTTGATACAAAGATAAATTTGTAGAGAGGTTGAGTTTACTGTGGTTGGTGCAGAACCGGTTATTCTTCCTCCAAAGTAACTTAGAACTGAGGAGAGATGACTAATGATAATACTCTTCAAATTACTTCCTTCTATTCTGAGTGCCTCGTTAGGTGACAAGATTCTACGTATGGATCAATCTAGTTTCAATATTTTACACTTTTAAAACTGAAGTGGTAATATTAAACAATTTATATTATCTGTGAATGAGAATTGTTTTGTTTTATGAATTGAGGTATAAGGTCTGTACAGATATTCCATCAGTTTAAGGTTACAAATTGTTTAGATGTTATAATTTTCTATAAGATATAACGTTGTTTACCTACAATTTCAAATGGATCCTCCAATCACAAGATGGGGGACTCTTTCCTCAAAGGCACAAATAGAGGACTTTTGGAAGCTGGAAGCCTAAATCTGGTCATCTGCTGTGTCCCACAACCCAGATTATGACGTGATTGAAATGGAATAGCGACAGGCCGAATATCCTCTAATGTGTGAAGCCAATGCATCACGCGTGGAAATTGTCCAAGCAGGCTTTTGAGTCAAAAGCAGCATAACTGGAAGGCACCAGGCAGTGATGGCCTCCACAACTTAGGCTCAAAAAAATTTAC